ATTTAAGACATATTGATTTAAAGTCTGTGTAATAGTTCCATTGTCTGTGTTTCCTTGAGTTTCTGTTAACTTTTTTCCTTCTTGTAGCTGGGTCATTTTATATTTTTTCTTTGTATGCTTAATTTTTTGTCGTTATTGAATACGGACATTTTGAATATTATGCACAAAAGGAAAAATCAAAAGCAAAAATATTTTATCTCTCATCTCTGCATTTTGGCTGTGTACTGGGACATTCCTTTCGCACTTAGCAAGGCCTTTCCACACTCTGCCTTTGCCTCCATGCCCTGCTTGCCTTTAGCCTAAAGATCAGCCAGAGGTGAAAGTGTGTGGTCTTCTCAGTCTTCTCTGAGCATACTTACTGCCCTGTACATTCACCTGGTTTTCCACTTTGTTCTTATGTGGACTCTTTTCAAACTCCTTATTTTCTAAAGATTCTCACTCTGCACCTTTTATTCCCTTGGCTTTAAGCATGTCTGTTGTTTCTCTTAATTGTTATTTTGTGCCAGTTGGCACTGGCTCATTCATTTGACTCTCAGTATCTTTGAGAAATGTCCTCTGCATGGTCCTGTGTTTAGCAAAGTTATGAGTTATGTGGAAAATAGGCCCCTTCCATTAGTCCTCAGGGGCCCGATGGACAGATCAAAACAAACGGAACTCCCTTGGGAACACAAAAGAAACAACAGTTCTTTGGGATCAAGATCCAGTCTGCTGTGGTCAGGATGAGGTTCCACTGAGAAACAGGATGTGATCTTAAAGACCCACCATGCTCAGATGGTGGACATGGTAGTAAAGCTGAAACACTACAGTAGTTCCCTTCTCTGCTCAGTGGCCCTTCTCCTGCTTATGTGTTTGCTGGGTTGCTGTAAACATTTTACTGTCTTCCCAATTTCCTATAAGTGTGATTCTGACAGGCATGTGGTAGTTTTTGGTGTTTCTGAGGAAGGACTGTCCCCATAGTCCCTACTTGGCCATTTTTGCATTGTCCTTGTCAACATGCTTTTATTCAAAAGCACATCCTGGCCCACGGTTAAGGCCTATTAGAGTTTATGGGCTATATTTTGGTTTGCCCTTCTCTTACACTGCCCTGAGGCCACTCTGAATTCTGAGCAGTTTCTACACCATAATTCAGGTCTTGATATTTTTGCTTTATTGTTTCTGGTCAGTTTTGTGTGAGGGCCACTAGGTAGTGATATCAGGACTTCATACATAAATGTAAAGAATCCCTTTCTCTAGGTTCCTTCTCCCTGATTCTACCAACTCTGTGCTTGGGATCACACATAGTGTAGGGTGGAGGAAGTTGACAAAGCATCTTCTGTGTTTGCAGGAGACATTCTGGTGGACAGTGGGAATGGCGCCCCCTCTTGTTTCTCGGTTTTGCTTGGTGTCGGTGGGGCTAGTTGACAAAGCTCCTCCCATAGTCTCCCAGCAGCAGCATTTCCTCAGGAGCTGAGAGTCCTGCTTCTTTGCTGGCTTTGCCTACTATCAGCAATGCCAGTTGCCTGGTTGGGAGGAAGAGGGCACAGTTCCTCTTGGGTGTTTGGGTTCTGTTCTGCATGCCTCCGTCTTCAACCACTTCAGAAATTTTATTCCCTAATGTTTGAAAACTTTTGCCGCTAAGTAATAAATCACAGAGGAAACCTACAAACATTATGTTCAGTGGATTAAATTGCATGATTTCGAACCTTGAATTTTTTAAAACTGAGATTTCGTTGACATAAAACACTATCTTCGTTTTAGGTGTACAACGTAATGATTCAATATATGTATATATTGTGAAATGATCATTACAAAGAGTCTGATTAACATCTATCACCACGTGTGTTTACAGTATTCTTTTTCTGAAGAGAACTTTTAATGTTTATACTCTTAGCAACTTCCAAATGTATAATATGGTAATATTAACTGTAGTCACCATGCTGTATATTACATCCCCAATACTCATTTATTTTATAACTGAAAGTTTGTACCTTTTGACCATCTTCACTCATTTTGTCACTCCCTACCCCTCCCTCTGACAACCACCAATCTGTTCTCTGAATCTGTGAGTTTGTTTCTTTCAGATCTCACATATAAGTGAAATCGTATGGTATTTGTCTTTTTCTGTGTGATTTATTTCACTTAGCAGAATGTCCTTAAGGTCCCATCATGCTGTTGCAAATGACAGGATTGCCTTCTTATTTATGGCTGAATAATATTCCGTTGTGTTTATACACCAGAATTTCTTTATCTATTCATTGATGGGCAGTTATGTTGTTTCCATGTCTTGGCTATTGTAAATAATGCTGCAGTGAACATGGAGGTGCAGATATCTTTTTGAGTTAGGGTTTTCATTTCTTTTGGATAGATACCAGAAGTAGAATTGCTGGGTCACGTGGTAGTTCTAGTTTTAATTTTTTGAGGAACCTCCATACTCTTTCACAGTACACCAATTTATATTCCTATAAATTGCACCAGTTTGAATTCCCACGAACAGTGCATTTGGGTTTGTTTTTCCCCACATCCTCACCAACACTTGTTGTTTCTTGTCTTTCTGATACTAGCCATTCTGACAGGTGCAAGGTGATCTTTCATTGTGGTTTTGATTTCCATTTCTCCAAATGTCTCTTTCCATGTGTCTGCTGGCCATTCATGTGTTTTTTTCTGGAAAAATGTCTGTTCAGGTCCTCTGCCCATTTTTCAATCTGATCATAGTTTTTTGCTATTGAGTTTTATGAGTTCTTTTTTTTTTTTTTAAGATTTTATTTTTTTGACAGAGAGAGACGGAGCAAGAGAGGGAACACAAGCAGGGGGAGCGGGAGAGGGAGAAGCAGGCTTCCTGCTGAGCAGTGAGCCAGACACGGGGCTCCATCCCAGGACCCTGGGATCATGACCTGAGCCAAACGCAGACACATAACGACTGAGCCACCCAGGCGCCCCGAGTTTTATGAGTTCTTTTTTTTTTGTGCAAAAAGGTGATTTAAAGCATGGGGACAGGACCCACGGGCAGAAAGAGCTGCACTGGGATTATGAGGAGCAATTTGAGTTTTATGAGTTCTTTCTATAGTTATCTGTGCCTTACCAGATAAATGATTTGCAAGTATTTTTTCCCATTCAGTAGGCTGCCTTTTCATTTTGTGGATGGTTTCCTTTGTTGTGCAGAAGCTTTTTAGTTTGATGTGATCCCTTGTTTTTAGTTTTGTTGTCTTAGCTTTTGGTGTTAAATCCACAAATTCATCACCAAGAGCAGTGTATTTCCTCTTTCTTTTTATACAGCCCCTGCTGGTTAGTTGGGACCTTTTTTTCTGTTTTCTTTTTTTACTCCAACCTTTGGCAGTTCTGAGTCGCAGTCTGCTGTAGCATTCAGATTGGGATATACAGGAGACAAAAATAAGCCCCGAGGAACTCATCACCCAATCCTCCCTTAATTCCTGAAGTTTCTTTTCTTTTCTTTTTTTTTTTTTTAAGATTTTATTTATTTATTTGACACAGAGAGAGACACAGTGAGAGAGGGAACACAAGCAAAGGGAGTGGGAGAGGGAGAAGCAGACCTCCCGCTGAGCAGGGAGCCCGATGCGGGGCTCGATCCCAGGACCCTGGGATCATGACCTGAGCCGAAGGCAGACGCTTAACGACTGAGCCACCCAGGTGCCCCAATTCCTGAAGTTTCTTACCCATTCCTGCCTTCTTTTGTCCATGTTTCAGAGTCTTCCAATATTTGCTTTGTGTGTTATGTCCGTGGTTCTAACTTGTAACTGAAATGTTCGGATGGAGTGTGCTTATTACTCTATCTTGAGTAGTATGGGAATTTGACTCCCACAATCATTTACTGAAAGCACGGTTAAGTGAATACACTCATCTTGCCTACAAGCTGCTTATTTTATGGGTGTCAGTATAACAGTAGGTATAGTATTAAGAGCATTAAGATAAATTCCATGGGAGCTCATAGGCAATAGGAATGAAATTATTTCTAGCCATTTTGGAATAGGTCGTGTGGTGTGGTGGTGAGGTCATTGTTCAGAGAACAATCTCTGACACCAACTGGAATGTCCTGTAATTCAATTCACTCCAGACACTACTCAGATTTAGTGTAGACCTACAGGTTAAGGGCAAAGTCCTGAATAAGACTGCCCACTTCAGATGCCATCCACAAGTATCAGGGGCCATCTGCACTCCCCACAACCCACTCAGATTTGATAATTTGTTAGAAGAACTGAGAAAACTCACTGAGAGTGTTATAGTAAAGATTATTGTTTTATTATAAAAGCTGTACCCAGGAACAGGCAGATGGAAGCAATGCATAAGTCAAGATCTGAGGCAGGGTGAGTGGCTTTGAGGAGGAAAAACCTAGGGGTTCTATGCCCTCTCCCTGTGGGATCTGAGCATATTTGCCTCCTGGCACATCAGCATGTTCACCATCCAGGAAGCTCCACTGAGCTTTATTGTCCCGAGCTTTTACTGGGCTTTCATTACCACGGTGTAGTTGATGGGATGAATGGCCATGTGATGAAATTCCTCCAGCTCCCCTGTCCTCCCTGGAGGTCTGGTTGGCCCAAAGATCCAACCCGGTAAGCATGTGGTTAGTCTTTTTGGTGAACAGGCTCCATCCTGAGGCTATCTAGTGGCCACCATGTGTCACCTCATTAGCATTAGAGACGCACACTGGGCACTCAGGAATTCCAGGGGTTTTTGAAGCTCTGTGCCAGGAAATGGGGATAAAGACCAGAAATAGTCTTTATTACATACCATGGTCATCAAATACGAATGCAAGGACAGTTTGGTATTTGAGTGATATCTTGAAAGATGAATAGTATTTAAACATTTTAATATGGGGCAAAGGGCATTTCAGGCTGAGAAATTAGCATTAGTAATCACACAGGGGCACATACTCAAAAGTTCAAAATATAGAAATATATCAAGTAGTTTCTTTTAGCTTTAAGGTATATAAAAAATAAGATTAAAAATGCCAGGTTGGGGCTCTTATTTATGACATTTATGAGTCATAGAACATTCTGTTCATACAGAGCAGAAGAAAGAAGAGATCTGTTGATGTTTTTCCGAAGCCTACACTTTTTTGTGGAGTGGTGTGAATATCGAAAGCGCACATTTGAACACTTCAAGGTAGGGCCTAAAGTTTTTAAATTTAAACATATTCAAAAAGTTAAGCTGGTTTAAATTTAAACATATCCAACAAGTGAAGCTGGTATTAATTTGGGGATTTAACATTCTTTCCTTAAAGTTTTCAAACAATAGAAGATATTTTTATTGGCTTCTGGAATTTGCAGTTATTTGGAATAAATGAGAAGGAATGCTTTTGTACAAACCAGTGAGTCATTTGTATTATGGGATATCTTGAAAGAGGTATAGTTAAATTCTTACTTATTTTATACACATTTTGAAAAATTAATCTGTCCGGGGTACTTGAAGTAAAATACAAATGCTAAAATGAGTGTAATCATAGTGGGCTTATCACCTAGCACTGTAATTTTTACTTCGTAGTCATACTCTGTATTTTGAGCTTCTTAATTATCATATATTTCAGGTTTAAGTATTGAAGCCTGATTCTGGTATAGTAATGCCTCTTAAGTCTGATATGGATACATTCAAGGACTTCTTTTTATTCTGTTTTCTGGCATAACTAGAATTACGTTGGGCTGCATTACAATCCCCCACGTCCTTCTTAGTTGGATGGCAGCAATATTGACAGTAGTGGTCCACACAAAATCCAGTTCTGAAAGAGTCAATATAATATCTCAAAAGGCTAACCCCAGGTCATGACTGTTGTTTTTATGACTCTTGTTTATTTGGATTTTTTATTATTATTATTACTGTTATCACATTACAGTTATTATTTGTCTTCTGTTTGGTTGAATTATTAAATCCGTCAGACAAAGAAGTTTCCTTAGGATGAAACATGCCTGTACCTGTACTGTGGTCCCTGGAGGAGTTCTCTTACTGTTGTTTATTTACATGTGCTCTTGCACCAAAACAGTGAAAAGCTTTGCTTCACAAGTGGTAAAACACATTCATGGTTGCTGACTGTTGTGGTGAGGCACCACCTAACATGGCGGTTTACTGATACGTTTGAATAGTCCCATTTCCAAAGTTGATTGGCCTCTAGGTGCCTTCAAGGCAGGCGGAGAAGTGTAACTGGTGTGTTTATCCTGTAGAGGATCGAGTACTTCTGTGAGCTCATCTTTGTTGGTGATTGGGTCACTAGAATGGAAAGACACAGTCATGCTATTATGCAGCCATCACTGATATTTATCTCAAGAAATTTTTTACATCTCGGATTGCAGCTGTTCCCATTAAATACTAACTTGTCATTCCCTCCTCCCCCAGCTCTTGGGAATCACCATTTTATTTCCTGTTTCTGTGAATTTCTAGGTATCTTATTAAAGCAGATTCATAAAATCTAATACTTTTTTGTTTGGTTTATTTCACTTAGCATAATATTCTCAAGGTGTAGCACAGCCTTTTTAAGGCTGAATAATATTCCATTGAATAGATATCCCTCATTGTTTAGCCATTCATCTGTTGATGGATACTTTGTTTCTATCTTTTGACTGTTGTGAACAATGCTTTTATGAACATTGGTGTACAAATACCTGTTCACGTTCCTGCTTTCAGTTCTAATACATATATACCTGTAAATGGAATCATTGGATCATATGGTAATTCTGTCCAATTTTGTGAAGCACTCCATATTCTCTTCCACAGTGGCTACACCATTTTACATTCACAACAGCAATGCACAAAGCTCCCAATTTCTCCACCTACCTGCCAACGTTTGGGATCTTTTCTTTGTTTTGGTTTTTTGGATCACAGCCAACCTAATGAGTGTGAAGTAGTATTTTCATTGTGGTTTTGATTTGCATTTACCAAATGATTAGTGATGTTCAGCAACTTTTCTTGTGCATATTGGCCATTCATATTATCTTCTTTGCAGAGATGTCTATTTAAATCCTTTGCCCATTTTTGAATTGGGTTTTTTCTTGTTGAGTTATAGGAGTTTTTAAAAATATATTCTAGATATTAATCTTTTATCAAATATATAATTGACAAATATTTTCCCCCATTCTTTGGCTTGTCTTTTCATTTGTTTGATAGTGTCCTTTGATGCCCAAAAGTTTTTAACTTTGACAACATCCAGTCTATCTGTTTTTTTTGTTGTTGTCTGTGCTTTTTGATGTCATATCCAAGAAATCATTGTCAAATTCAGTGTCATAAAGGTTTTCCTCTTTTTTCCACTAAGAGTTTTATAGTTAAGTTTAGGTGTCTGATCCACCTTGAGTTAACTTTTGTATACATTGTAAACAAAGCGTCCATCTGCATTCTTTTGCACGTGGGTATCAATTGTCCTGGGTCTTGGCACCTTTGTTGAAAATCAGTTGACCATCTATGCAAAGGTTTGTTTCTAGGTTCCCTGTTCTCTTCCATTGTTATGTATGTTCCTATCCATGCCAGTACCACACTTTTGATTACTCTAGCTTTGTAATTCACTTTTGAAATGAGAAGTGTGAGTTCTCCAATTTTAGTCTTCTTTTCAAATTTCTTTTGCCTATTTGAAGTACCTTGAGATTCCATATGAATTTCAGAATGGGTTTTTCTATTTCTTCAAAAAATGTAATTGGGACTTGGATAGGGACTGTGTTGAGTCTGTGGATTGCTTTGGGTGGAGCTGACATAGTAACCGTTAAGTCTTCCAGCCCATGGACACAGGGCGTCTCTCTACTGGCACATGGCTTCATTATTTTCAGGAATGTTTGTAAGGGTAAACAGTTTTAATTTTAAACCTTAATTTCTTTAATCATCAGTGTCAATAATGAATACTATTTCTTTAAGATAATGGGAGCAGCAAAATTTTACTTTTTCTCATTCTTTTATTTATGATTTAAGGGCATATATAAGATTGTCCGGTACCCCTGTTCATATCTTCTTATCTGGAAGTCTGAAATTGTCTTTGAAAGATAATTCTATAATATAGACCTTTTACCAGTGCTCTTTCCTAATTATTATTTTATGTAAACCACAGGCTTTTGAATTCTCTAAAATTTGAGTTATTTTATGGGTTTTTTTTTTTCTCTTTAAGTTCCGTTAGGTAAAGAATATAGAGATGCATCTGGAAACGTGAGAGACGTCTTCTCTGACCGCTTTTCCTGGTGTCAGTCCCACCACTTAGCTCTCCTTTTTATCAGGTTTATTTTTCCAGATAAAGTTATAATTTATTTACATTGTTTTATTCAAGATTGTGATAAAGATTCTACTTTCCAAATAAAACAGAGCCCTCAGTTTAAATGAATTTTATTTTGTACTTTTCATTGCATATTCAATTCAGATGTGCTCACTACTATTATGCTAGGCACACTGAAAGTATACAGGGAATATTGGATGTGTTCAGTGAGCTTTCAGTCACAGAGAAATGAGGCATGCACACAAAATAATGAGAAAGCAGTATATAGTTAATGATTACCAATTACCAAAATAAAATAAGCAAGTGAGTTAATAAAGACATCACAGATGTTTTAATGAAAAAGTCTCATCTTCAGGTCAGCCTTGACGAATGGAGGAAAAATTGAAAAACAGATAGGAGCCCATTCTACTTAGGGAAAAACAGAAGCAAATGCTTAAAAATATGAATAACTATTTGTTCTGGGAGTGGTATATGGAGACCAACTTGATTCTAATGTATGATTTATGTTGGAAACAATATTGGAAATTTTTATATACACAGTTCAGACGCATGTTTCTAAGGCACTGATAATTTTGGATGTAATCCTGATGTAGTGTGGGGACTAAGACTTTTGAGTGGGTTTTGGGCAAGAGGAAGGTTATTTTAGGAACTTTAATCTGGCAGCGTTGTTCCATCATGAGTCATCACTGTTAGAGTGTAGGTGAATTCACATTACGAAATGATCAGTTAATCCCGGGTCTTTAGAAAATGTTGCTCTGAAGCCTTATTGTGAAGGTATAATCAGTTTGCATGACTGTGATGTATGTAGGTTGGGGGCGGGGGGGATGGTGGTGTGCAGTAACACCACAAAATTCACTGTTTTCATGTCTTACATTTGAACAGATTTATGAATGAGATTCTCACTGCTGTGGTGGCAAAAAGAAAATATATTGCAGTATCTGTCATATTTGAAAGCCTTTACAATGGGGAACTTTATAGTTATTTTTTGAGAGATGGGATGGACATTCAAGTTTTTTTTTGTTTTTTATGAGCATACTGATTTTGGTCTGCTTGGCTCCTTAAAATGTTTTATGGTAGACTTGGAATGTCAGTATTTAGAAAAAGGAAGATTTTGTACTATTTTACTGAAGCCTTTAACTGTGTGACTACAAAGGAAACATTGAATATTACTCTATTAGGTCTTTATCAGAGAGTAATATTATGCTTTATTTGGACAGTTTTGCCTAGATATGAGACGATACCCAATTTCTCAGGCTAAGTAAAAATATAATAGCTGCCTGAATAGAGGGAAAACAGAGTTCCTATTTCATAATGAATAATGTATGAATCATAAAAGAAAAATGGGAGATCACTGGAAATACTTAGCTTTTCAAAGTTTTTGGAACATCTTCCTTAAATGCTTTAGGGATCCAGTAAAGGCCAAGAAAGACCAGCAGTTGAACGTTTCTTGGACTTACCCTTCCGCTTCATTAGTAATGGAAATAATGCTTCTTAAATTTGAGTATTTATATAAAAACATACCTTTCAAAATGGCACTATGGTATAAACTACAAGGATTTTGTAATGCTGTTTAAATATTTTCACATTGCTTTGTTTTGAACTTTAGATTCAATTTTACTTTTTACTTGTTATGTGTAAGATTTTTGAACATCCTTGTTTAAAACATAAAATTCCTTCATAGTGGGACACAAAGTTAATATTAAATATTTATGCTCCTTTAGACATTGTTGAGACAGATTATATGCATGAGTGTACGTTAGTTTATATGCTGCATTGGTAGTGGTTAAAAGTATGACCCTACAGGCAATCTTTTCAAGCAGATAAAACTGTTGGGATGCTTTCCCAGGACGATGGGGTTGCCCTCCAAGCGTATCTCTTCAATGCGGTCCCGAATGTAACGGGTGTCATTAGCCTTGCAGAATGTATC